GCATAGGGTCTTTAAACCTTACCTAGATCAATTTGTGGTGGTCTTTATTGATGACATATTTGTGTATTCTAAGAATGTGAAGGATCATGAGAAGCATTTGAGAATTGTTTTGCAAACTTTGAGGGAACATCAATTATATGCTAAATTTAGCAAGTGCGAATTCTGGCTAAAAGAAGTGACTTTCTTGGGACACATAATTTCTAAGGATGGGATTAAAGTGAATCCAGCTAAAGTGGAAGCTATTTCGAAATGGAAACGACCGGAAAATCCTACCGAGGTTCGAAGTTTTATTGGATTAGCAGGGTACTACCGGAAATTTATCAAAGATTTCTCTAGAATTGCTGGACCCATGACTGAATTGACCAAGAAGAATGGGAAGTTTCTATGGAGTTCTAAGTGTGAAAAAGTTTTCAGGAGTTGAAAAGACGGTTGACAAGAGCGCCTGTGTTAGCTTTGCCAAACGGAAATGATAGTTTTGTGGTTTACACAGATGCATCTAAGGAAGGATTGGGGTGTCTTCTAATGCAAAATGACAGAGTGATAGCATATGCCTCTAGGAAATTGAAATCGCATGAAGGGAATTACCCGACTCATGATTTGGAGTTAGCAGCTGTGGTTTTTGCTTTAAAGAAATGGAGGCATTATCTGTATTGAATGACATTTGAGGTTTTCACAGACCACAAAAGTTTTAAATACTTATTTTCTCAAAAGGAACTGAATTTGAGGCAACGTAGATGGATGAAATTTTTGGAAGACTATGACTGTACGATTAAGTACCATCCAGGGAAAGCTAATGTAGTGGCTGATATTTTGAGTCGTCAAGTACAGATGGCTGGATTGATGATTAAGGAATTCGAATTGTTGGAAGAAATTAGTCAGTGGAATCCTCGACTGGAACCGAGGAAAGTAATTCTGGGAAACATTGTATTGAATTCTCCTTTGATGGAACGTATCAAGGAATCTCAAGGAAAGGACACTGAAGTACAGAAATGGTCGGAAAAGGGTAAAAAGAGGGACAAATCGGATTTTAACTTGGGACCGAATGGTGTATTGAGATTTCGGAATCGGGTAGTTGTGCCAAAGGATGAAGGGCTTAAAAAGAAAATTTTAGAAGAGGCACACCGATCAAAGTTTACGGTACATCCAGGAGGGAATAAAATGTACCAGGACTTGAAGACTCTTTATTGGTGGGAGAATATGAAGAAGGAGATTGCTCAATTTGTCCAAACATGCTTAATTTGTCAACAGGTTAAAGCCGAACATCAGAAACCATCGGGACTTTTGCAACCTCTAGAAATACCTGAGTGAAAATGGGAGAATATCACCATGGATTTTGTATCAGAATTACCAAGGACACAGAGAGGCCATGATGCGATTTGGGTAATAGTGGATAGATTGACCAAATCGGCTCATTTTTTGTCGATTAATATGAAATACTCATTAGAGAAGTTGACCAGGTTGTATTTGGATGAGATCATTAGGTTGCATGGAATACCTGTCAGTATCGTGTCGGATAGAGATCCAAGATTTGTTTCAAGGTTCTGGCAAAAGATGCAAGAAGTGTTAGGGACTAAATTGAACTTTAGTACCACTTATCATCCCCAGACGGATGGACAGTCAGAGAGGACAATTCAAACTCTTGAGGACATGTTACGATTTGTGTTCTGCACTTTGGAGAGAGTTGGAGTAAGTTTTTGACTTTAGTGGAGTTTGCCTACAATAATAGTTTCTACTCTTCTATTCAGATGGCCCCGTATGAGGCACTTTATGATCGGAAATGTAGGTCTCCAATTTGTTGGGACGAAATAGGTGAACGAAAAATCTTAGACCCGACCACAGTATCTTCGATTGAAGAAGCTAGTGAGAAAGTAAGGTTGGTACGCCAAAGAATTCAGACCGCCCAGAGCCGCCAAAAGAGTTACGCCGATAATCGAAGAAAAGATTTGGAATTTACTGTTGGAGATTTGGTATTTCTCAAGATTACACCTTTGAAAGCAAGTTTGATGTCCGGAAAAGGGAAGAAGTTACAGCCAAGGTTTGTAGGGCCTTACAAGATTATCCAACGTGTGGGGAGCGTAGCCTATAAGTTGGAATTACCGCCGAATTTATCTCGAATCCATAATGTGTTCCATGTATCTATGCTTAAGAAGTATCATCCGGACCCTTCTCACGTCTTACAACAGAAAAATGTTGAGATTGATGAGACTTAACCTATGAGGAAAAACCAATTAAAGCTTCTGGATAGGAAGGTGAAGGAATTGAGGAATAAACAGATACCATTAGTAAAAGTCCTTTGGAAGAACCATGGGTTGGAGGAAGCAACTTGGGAGGTCGAAGAAGCAATTCGAGAAAAGTATCCAACCTGTTCACCAATCAAGGTAAATTTCGAGGACGAAATTTTCTTAAGGGGGAGAGGATGTGAGGACGTAAAAGTATTATTTTCGACTCCTATTTTTGCTCATTTAATTATTTATTCAAATATTTGTTTCGATTATTATTTTCTACCTTATTAGATTAAATACATGGAGTTATAACTTCATTATATTTTTAAAGTGATTCGTTTCAAAAATTAATTTTTTTTTGGAAGCTCGATTAATGAAAATAGTGAAACGTGTCTGAAAACTTTAGCCTTTTGGAAGTACAGTAAGTTCAAAACTTTGAGACATGTACAATGGTCTTAAAATAGGTAAATTTAGCTTTCAAGTACTCAAGTGATAGTTGGTGGTTCGATCGTTAAAGAATTTCTCGAAGGTTTCACTTTATCGCGCCTAATTTAGAAATACGCGTTTTCACACGCGCGCTTAATTGTGGGACTTTAGACCATTATTTTGGGACAATTAAGAGTGAATAATATTTGTATGAATATAAGTGCATTAGAGGTTTAGTGCACTAGTGAAACAAATACAAGAGGAATCGAGCACAAACGCGCGCGTATACGCACTATTTGCGGTTGACTTTTGCGCATCTAAACTCTTAGTCATTAAGCTTCCTTCGTAAGCCAAAAAGTCAGACCAACTCTCTCTTCTCCTAGCTCTCTTGGCCGGCCATCAAGCTGCAAAGAAACAACCAAAGTTCTTCAACTTTTCACTCTAAAATCTTGCTCAAATCACTACCAAATCCTCTCAAATTTTAGCACCACTTAGCTCAACACTTGGGAAGTCCATCTAGCTGCAAAAGAAAGGAGCTCTCCACAGTTTTCTTCAGGCTTCAAAGGGCCGAAAATTCTGACTTGAACAACCACCAAAGTAGGTAATGATCCAACACTCTAAACTTGTCCTATGGAGGTTAAATTACACATATGAGCTTGAATCTTTATATGGGTAACTTTTATTGTTGGAAAATTTTGATGGTGGGCTCTATGAACTCCCACCCTTGGCTTGATGGCTGATGAAATGATTGATGTTGGATATAATGCTGGTTTAGTGTTTAAAATGGTGTATTATTAGTAGAAACTTCAAGGAACTCATGGGATAGAAATTTTCGATTTTTCCCCTGCCTTGTTCGGTTATTTTAAGGCCAATTTTTGATGATCTAATGGCTTGAATATGATTTTTATATGTTGTATTAGTTGTGTAAAAATTTTCGTTGGAAAATATTGAGGTTTGGTTGGGCAAATGAATTTCTTTGTAAAACTAGTCAAGCTGGAAAACTGTTCCCGTGTAGCTCTGACCAGCGATAGTGTTTTGGCCGTAACTCTGTCATCCGATGTCAAAATTGAGTGCCGTTGGTGGCATTTGAAACTAGACATCCACACCTTTCCAACGGTATAAAATGCAAGTTTTGGTTCCAAGTGTGTGAGCCAAACCAATCGTTTTAAGAAGGCTGCCCCGTTTCTCTGTTCTGCTAGAACGATTTGATTTTTTTTTTTTGTCAAACGGTATTCTCTTTATATATTTAGTGAACTTGATAATACAAGTTGTTAAGTACAAAAGTGGATATTCATCCTATTGTCCTCCTGTATGCTCTCTTTGAGCCACAGAGGGAAGCTTTGCTTCCATATCACATTGGAAACAAGCTTGGTTGCAAATTGTGCCATTTGATGAGCACATCTATTTCCATCTCTATTAATAAACAAAAAGGTACAACATTGGAACATACCACATAGTTGTTTGATATCTTCCAGTATTGTACCAATTGGGGCTTCCTCCCTACCTTTCGTATGGATTCTCTCAATGACAGCTTTGCAATCAGATTGCACCTCTATTTCTCGCCATCCAGCTTCCTTAGCCATCACCAGCCCCTGTCGGATTGCATCTGCCTCTTCTAGTTCAGCTCCACATCTGCTATACTTCCTGATACCTCTAGCTTCTACAAGTTCCCATGACTGTCCCTCGCTACCATTCCTAGCCCCGCTCCTGCTAATTTAATAGGAACGGCAGCATCAGTGTTGATTCTCACTATACCTATATCTGGTGGCCTCCATTGGTGGTTGAGCAATTGGTGTCTTGTTCCTGTTCTGTGCTTTGCCTCCTGCTCCGTCTGCTCCTCTTGAAATTCCAGCCATTCATTGTTTGCTATTTCTATTATAGACAGATGATCTCTATACTTCCCTTCATACTGTCGAGCATTTCGTGCTTTCCACAATTGCCAGATGATGTTTGCTGTGAGTGTAATGTGATCTTCTCCTCTTGTTCTTTTCCTTGCCTGTAGTATCCCTTCCCACCACCTCCAGAAATTTGCCCGCCATTCTAATAAGCCGTCCCACTGTATTGGGGCCTGTTGATCTTGATCCCTATCTTTTGATGTTTACAAAATGTGACAGCCCCACTTTTCCCTAAGGCGAACCAAAGGGTTAGCGGACTGCCTGCCCAACTCTCGCCAGGACTACGGTACAGTTTACGTTGATCTATAACGTTCCGGAACATCCCATTGCACGTAAACAAGTCAAAAGAGTCAAAATAAAAAAAACGAAAAAATTTGCCGAAGATGAATAGTGCAGGCCACGTCAGAATCCGGCCGGATTCAGTCCAGTGACTTTTCGTTCAAAATTTTCCTTTTGCCGTTTGAAATCCAAATCGATTCAAAGTTCAGCCAAACATCAACCAAGCATATATACATTGAAATCCAACATTCCAAGCCAAATCGGCATACCAAAATATCCAACTAATCCATACATGTACAATAACCAATTACAAACCAAACATTGGAGGAAACAAAACACTTAGGGTTTCACCCTCAAGGAGCTATTCAAAATACATGTACATGAGCTCAACTTGTCATTCAACTATTACAATCTTTTCCAAAAGTGTTCATTTTCCTGTAAGGAAAACAAATGGAACGGTGTGAGCTAAAGCTCAGTGAGCAACTATCACAATAGCAGTTAAGATCACATAAGCATAACCATTCAAGTCAAGTATACAATTTCGAAGTAAAGCAATTCAGTGAAAGGATACGGTCGGCTCTCAAGAGCCCATTTCCACGCTTACATTCTTGATCCACACTCATTGACCCTCCGTCAATGTTAAAAGTACCAAACCGTAGACCTCACTTCACTTCCATTCCTTCCACCCAACATACCCCAACCGGGCCCGCACTCCATTCAGTCATTTTGGTAATACTCGAGTTTACCGGAACCAAGGGTCTCATTACCACAAGGTTCCCCAGTACAGTCCCCGTGGCATGATAATTTTCACGACCAAGCCCTCGCCGGCTCGATCCAATTAACTACCATACGGGGTTGAGCTCATAAATGCAGTAAAGCCATTGGATACTCGTCCAACGACACCAAATCAGTTTCCATGAATGGAATGCAGTATCTCATATATCCAGTGCAGTCTTTCAGTAAAACAATTAATAGTCATGAATAAAATCACAAGGGGTGAGGGCGATCAAGTACACCCTCACCTCAATCATTCCCAATAACCAAGTAAGCCTTCAAGGCATCAAATACACATAGCACAAAGCCACATTATAACAAGTAGGTGAGTAGTATACTCACCAAGTGAGAAAATGATGTTTCATGCACCGTCGTTAAACGAACGTCGTGCACCACCGTTTCCTCCTAGAACAAGTGAACAATTACCATAAGACTCGATAACGAGTCACAAAGCCAAGCCAATTATAACCCATTAGGGTTTCATGCATGGAAATTCAAGTGTTAAATACGTAACCTTTACTCAAGTCGAGAATATAGTTTTCTAAATTTCGAGTAAAAATGCGGGCAGCATGCCCTTTGTGTTTACCAAATTCTCCAGCCATAAGGCTTCATTATTTTTCTTCAATCACAACCCAACAACACACATATAAGCATTTCATGTCAAGAGCCGTTCCATAGCTCACAATATCATAAAACAAGAAACCATACCGAGCCATAAACAACACCAATTCACAACCCCAATAGGGTTTTATAAACATATACTAGCATGAAAGCAAACCAGAAATTAAGAAAGGCTTTAATGTTGGCCTTGATAAGAAAACCGGTTTTGACGTCATAATGCGGTAATGGCACAACTCTCACTACAATTATCGGTTGGGGGTGTAAGACCCACCATTTCGAAGCTATGAAACAGGGCTACAACAATGTAGAAGGACTCTCAGTCCAAATCCTAGCACAACTAGGTCAAAAGTGCCAAATACCAAACCAGAACCGAAATTGCAGGTTCCCAAATCACACAAAACTGTAATACGTCAATCTCAGCCTACACAGGTCCAAATGCCGAAATTCCAAAGGCATAAGTTAGCTAAGATATCCAGCTACATTTCATCAGAAGACACCAACTTAAAAATCCAAACCAAATCCAGTCAAAACAGGCAATTACTATCGCAGTTCCGCACATTCTGTTCACCAAAAACAGCAACAGTAAAAACGGCATAACTCTCTCTATACTACTCCAAATGCCCTGAAATTTTGTAGGCACTTCATACTCACCAATACCTACAACTTTCATGTTTTGAGCAAAGTCCAATTCGGCCTCTAGCTATGACCTAAAATTTCGGACAGAATTGGGAATAATATGAACCCTAACTTTCCATTTTCCATCCAAATCCAAAATTGATTATATTTTCCTATCCAATACACCTCATAGAGTCATTATCAGCCATTACCATTCATCATACAAGGCCACAACATCCCATTCATATTAAACCAGAAAAATTCCCAATAAAATAAAAACTTCACCAAAACTCTTCAAATCAAGATAAAAACCAGAAATTTCAGCACTCTTATCACTAATAAGCACAACATAAGCATCATTAAGTGTAGTAGGGTGTTTCAAGCTTCACTTACCAAGAACCAAGAGAGAGGAAGATGTTGTGCACCTTAGTCCTTCAAACAAAGTTCACCAAACAACTTACTATCACTAGAAGGAAGAATTTTATGGAGTAGAATCTATTCTAGGTGATTAGTTGTGGAAGATTGAGTGAAATGGAAGCTAAAAGTTGAAGAATTTCCTTCCTTCTTTGAGCTTGAGAGTTCGGCCATCAAGAGTGAAAAATGGTGCATTTTTGTGATTTTTGAAGATATATAACCAAGTTGGGTCAAAGGTCAAAAATGTGAATAGTATTTCTTAAGGTCAAACCAATACTTATGTGACACTTGTCACCTCATTAAATGCATTCTTATCATTCTTTTCTCTCTCACATCAATCACTTCACACATACTACTTATCTCTTAACACCCGATAAATTTTCCACAGTATCCGAAACTTAACCGTATTGGCCGAATTTTCCCGAACTTTTCGCACTAGTGGGTCCCACGTCCAATATCTAGTCTTAATTTTCTAAAACTCTCCAATACTAGAAAAATCATCTAAAAAAACTATAACTGCTCATGAAATCCACCAAGAAAATATTCCTAGGCCAGAAAATGCAGAAAACATGAAATTTAAGGGGGGGAAAAACCCTAGGAAAATATTAGGGGAAAACGGGTTCTCACACAAAACAAATGGATGATACTAATATTTTTCAAGATATACTTTCAGTTTTGAAATTGTTTGATTCCATGAACAAGTGCAATTGAAAGGGGACTAAGTATGCTGAAGCTGTCGGACGCTCAAATAGTCAGGATCGGACGTCCGAAAGGATGAAGAACATCAAGAAGGAAACTCTGTCGGACGCTCGTAAGGAAGCATCGGACGTCCTGAAGGATCGGACGCATGCTTCGGACGCACATCAATCTCATCGGACGTCCTAAAAATTCCACGAAGATTTGATAACTCTCTGGACGACGTTCGGACACAGAAGCTCGGACGATAAAATACCATCGGACGTCCGAACGACAACTTGGCTGATTTTCGGACGATGGGATCGGACGGTGTTTAATCTTCGGACGTCTGACGTCCCCAACGGCTAGTTGACTATTCAGCTACTTTCTATCCGTTGGATGCTTTAATGAGGCACTTTCTTGGTCATATAAATAGTGGTTGGTCAGATACTTCAGATAACTTTTGCACACTTTGTTTATAAGATCTCAAGAGATATTTTAGCTAGAAAATAGTCTCCAAAGCTAGATTTGTAGTCTTAGTGGTGTGAGGTTCATTGTAAGCTTTTCATTTGTGAGTGAATCTTTTATGAGTGTAGCTCTGTGAGGGTTGTCCTGAGGGATAGTAAAACGTCCTGGCTTGACCGAGTGGAGTTCGGGGCAAGGAGGAGGTGAACCTTCCTTTGTACACAAGAGTGATTATAATTCATCAACTTGAAGTAGCTTGTCTCAATTAATCTACAAGCTCAAGAGGAGTTGGGTAGTTAATTGGTTTGCAACTCTTTCCTTTTTATTTACTTATTGTTACGTTTATGATCTTTAATTTGTTTATCTCTTCTACTCACAAGCACTTGTGCTTTCTTATCAACTGTCTCATTGGTTGTCTTCGGGCCTTACAATTGGCATCAGAGCTTGGTCTCCTAGAGATTAAGCTTAACCGCTTAGAGTAAAGATCATGGCAACCATAAATGTTTCTTTTTTAGAAGGGCAATCTATTGATAGACCACCTATGTTTAATGGTTCTCATTTTAGCATGTAGAAACAAAGAATGATGATTTTCTTACAATCCGTTTATATTGAATTATGGTATGTGGTAGAAGATGGTCCTTATGAAGTTAGAATAGTTGACTCTACCACTAATTTGAGTAGATTAAAGACTAGACAAGAATTGAATGAAAAAGACAAGAGATACCTTTCTTTGAATGCCAAGGCCATGTATATATTGTACAATGCATTAGATGTAAATGAATCTAATAGGATTAAAGGTTGTAAATCAGCTAAAGATATTTGGGATAAATTGTGTGAATTTCATGAAGGTAACCAAGATATTAAAGAACAAAAGAAATCTTTGCTTGTTTCTCAATATGAATTTTTCAAAATGCATCCTCTTGAAAATGTTGATAAGATGTGTACTAGATTTTGTGACATTATTCAAGATCTTAAATTGCTTGGAAAAGAATATTCTTTGGGTGAGAAAAATAGAAAGATTTTGAATGCCTTGCCAAAAGAATGGGAAAACAAAATAAATGCTATAGAAGAGGCAAAGGATTTAAATTCTATGTCCATTGAATCTCTTGTGAATTCCCTAATCTCTTATAATTAAAGCTGAAATTCAAAGTGCAAGAGGAAGAAAATGCAAGAATGTATAAGAGTGGCATAGCTTTTAAAGCATCTCAAGTGGGGGATAACCCATCCTTCATGGGTAATGAAAACATGGAAGTGGACAATGATATAACTCCTCACATCAAATGTTTCAAGAAGATCTTCAACAAGAGGAGATTGCAAAATTACATGGGATGAATGCAATTCAAAAAGAGAAAAAGAAGAGTTGGCCCAAATGGCACTAATGGCCATTGGAGATGATGAGGTAACATCTTATAACTCTCAAGTTGAAAGTGATGAAGAAACTGATGATGATATTGAATCTTTCATTATAAAATTGCATGATAGTTTGAAACAGTCCTATGCTAGAAACAATGGGTTAAAACAGAAAATTTTTTTTGCTTCGAGATAATGCAAATCTTTTTCAACAAAATAAAAAGTTGAAATCTGAAAATGATTACTTCAAAAAGAGTGAGACTGCTTTACATTTTGAACTTGATAGAAAAACAAAACTTTGTGATTTGTTCAAAAAGGAACAAGGTGATTTGAAAAGAAGAATGGATGGTCTAAATGAGTTGCTTAAACACAAGAAACAAGTCTGTTTTCAAAAGAATAGGTTGAATTCTAATTCCAACGAATTTGCTATCCATAGGAGAAGACAAGTAAGATTTATTAAACCTGTTCATGTAGATAACTCTTTGGTTATGTGTAATTTTTGTTGTCAAAAAGGTCACATGAAAAGTGATTGTTATGTGAGAAAGAATATGAGAAGAAGCATGAAATGCATGTGGATAGTTAGACATGATGCTAACTTTAACAAATAGGAGATTTTGTTAATCATTGCAGTGATTCTTGTTCACAATATTTTTTTTGATATTTCCGATACTTTGATTTGTGTTTTCGCTGATATTTTTGAATACTACTGAATTTGTATGGTGTCAAAAAGGGAGAGAAAAGAACTATTCTGATCTAACGATGTTTGCTTATCTCTCTGTGATATGTTGGTATGTTGGTATTCTGAATTCTGGTATCATTTCTCTGTTTTATTTTGAATATTGGATTCTCTGTTATTATTGTTGGATTATGGTTGTTGGGTATTACTCTCATCTTATGATGACAAAAAGGGGAGAAATGGATGCTATGTGTTAGGGGGAGTTATTCTGAAATTATAAGTTGGTTGCAATGAGTGAGGGGGAGTCTATGCTCATATGCTCAATCTTTTTCCTTCCTTCCATCCATTGTTTTTCATCATCAAAAAGGGAGAGAATGTTGATCTTGATCCCTATCTTTTGATGTTTACAAAACAAATGGATGATACTAATATTTCTTCAAGATATACTTTCAGTTTTGAAGTTGTTTGATTCCATGAACAAGTGCAATTGAAAGGGGACTAAGTATGCTGAAGCTGTCGGACGCTCAAATAGTCAGGATCGGACGTCCGAAAGGATGAAGAACATCAAGAAGG